TTTATTTATTTATTTGATTGATTGATTGATTGATTGATTGATTGATTTCCACCCCGCCCCTCTAGACTGTGTCTACTCGGGGCGGCTTACAAATAAAAGACAACTATATCACATAAATAACATCTTAAAAATTACAATTAAAATTACACTTATAACAGTTAATTATGACCAAGACATTACCAAGATGGCATACCAAAAGGGAAAAAGAAAGAGGTAAGGATGAAAATCACTTAGTTGACTGGAGGGAAGGCCTGCTTGAACAGTCAAGTTTTTAACTGACTTTTAAAAATACCCAGCGAGGACACCAGCTGAATTTTGGTTGGAAGGGTGTTCCACAGCCCTTCTATTTGCCAGGAGGTGATGGGACCAGTGGCCATGATCTTTTTTTTTATGTTGAGCTTAAGACCATTTTTGGCACTCTCCTCTTTCATGCTCATTAAGAGGTTCTTTAATTCTTCCTCACTTTCTGCCATCAGAGTGGTAACATCTGCATATCTGAGGTTGTTGATATTTCTTCTGGCAATCTTAATTCCAGCTTGGGATTCATCCAGTCCAGCCTTTTGCATGATGTATTCTACATATAAGTTAAATAAACAGGGAGACAATATACAGCGTTGTCGTACTCCTTTCCCAATTTTGAACCAATCAGTTGTTCCACATCCAGTTCTAACTGCTGCCTCCTGTCCCACATATAGATACAGGCAAGCTAATTCTTTCCTCCTGCCAGTTTGCTGTGACTCTTAGGAAAAAAGAAGGAAAGAACTCTATAGATCGTACTCAAAGTTTCTAAACAAAAAGTTAACTTCTTTCTGTAGCCTGATCCAGTAGCATTCAAATTAAATCACTCAGAATGCTTTTTTTAAATGAAATGTACTGAATGCCAAAAGACTGTAAATAAATTGAGGAAACATCGCTGTAAGCAGTTCATAACAAAATGTACTTCCTCTGGACAGTAAGTCTCCTCAACAGTTTCCTTCCCTCCATAAAACAGAGATATAAATCCTTTCCTTTATGCTACATGTTTTTAAACAGACATGTTCTTGTCATGCACAGCTGACTTCTTTGATGTTTCTTGTCTTAGCCAAGTTAAGTTTATTCACAGCATCATCATCAGGACTCGTCACACAATAATTGCTATGTTTTAAGTTGATGCTTGACCAACCAACCTTGTACAAAAACCGTATACTATGAAATATTTGAACTGCTGTTTGCCTAAGGTTTTACAATGGGGCTAATTTTCCATCTTTTTAAAAAGATGCACCATCTGTTTGAGCACAACTCATCTGCAAGTTTAGGCTAAATAAAGCTACTTAGTGCTTAAGATGTCACACAATTCTTTGCTTTTTTTTGCTACAATGGACCAACATGGCTACCCATGTTGGATATTAAAACAATAAGAAAAGCATTAAATGCAATGGTCACGGTCGAGTTTGGTATCCAACACCACCAGAACAGGGCTTCTTTTACTTCCTCCTCCTATTGTAATGCTGTATGATGTGGGGGGCGAGGGGGAGAACTGACCTCACACCAGAGGGTTTCTTAGGCCATTAGAGCAAATTTCAAAGGTGTGCACAGTGGGCTGGAAGCGAGAAAGGAGGTTATTGACCCTGGTGGAACAGTGAGACTTAGCCGAAGTACAGCACTGGATTCAAGCCAATGACAAAAGTCCACCAAATCACACTAAAACAGATTTTTCCCCCAAAAAGGCACTCAGCTGCTACTGAAGTTTATTTTTTCTTTTTAAAAAACACATATAAACGTTTTCACCAAATGGCAAAAATAGACTAGTGTTGAAGGCAGGTGGGTGTTCCTGGAATAGAAGGACATTCCAGAATACCGATGCCATGATGGAGAAGTACCAAATTCTAAGCTTTTTCTCTACAGCCCTAGATAACATTCTGGCAGAGACATTTTGGAACAAATTAAGTTTTCAGAAACTGTTCAAGAGTTGCCCCATGCAGAGCTAGTTAGTGTAGTGCAGGCATTGCAGTAGCAAGCCATTCATCTGGTTGAGCTTCCATAGCTATATATTTAGCTTTTTAAAAATATTTCTACACCTCTTTTCATATTACATTATTTTGAATTCCAGAGTGGGATATAAGCAAACAGGTTCACAACCAATATAATTAAAAAGCCATCAAAATTCATAACAATTACAGTTTTAGTTTATATTTTTATAAGATTTTTGAATGGTTTTCAAATTAATTTTACTTTAATTGAAAAACACCTTAAATTATTTTGATTGCCAGGCAATATACTATATCTATATCATTGTTTAAAGATTAAGACACTTGTTTTACACTTAATTTTGCAAATATATGTCTATCAGAAGTGTTCAGCAGGGTTGACTTCCAGGTAAGTATGTAAATGATTGCTTTCAGTCTCAAAAACCTTTTGCTCAGCCTATGTATGATTTCCTGCCTGCCCTACATTCCATCACAATATCTAAAATCAACCAAGAGCATCCTGTTAATAATACTGCATTCTGCAGAGACAGTAGCACCACCACAGAATCTTGCTACAGAAGTTGAACAAATTGTTTTTTGATCCCAGTCACATGCTAATTCACAAAACAATAATAATGCATCAGTTGCTCCAAATACTTTTCTTTTGTGTTTCCCAGAAAATAAGACAGGGTCTTATATTAATTTTTGCTCCAAAAATGCTTTAGGGCTTATTTTCAGGGGATGTTTTATTTTTTTTTCATGTACAACAATCCACCTTTATTCACATACAGCCATGTCATCTTTTGGTTGCTGCACAATGCTGCACAATGGTGGAGGGCGGGGTTTCACTTCACTGGGGAGTATTTTTGGGGTAGGGCTTATATTATGAGCATCCTGAAAAATCATACTAGGGCTGATTTTCAGGTTAAGTCTTATTTTTGGGAAAACAGGGTAGTTATTCTCTGCTTGCTAAATATTACTACTAAGAGAGGCTGAAATTCATCATGACTATTCTTGCTACTGTAAACAAAATACTGTGTTGCATCCCAACCTGTTTCCAAAATTCTTCAACCAGTAAGTTCTTCTCCTTCCTGCCTTCTTTTCCCATTCATTTTACCTTGATTGACCCGTTATAACAATCAATACTTCTCACCTGTCATTACTTGAGGTACCTATTCACACACACACACACCCCCAAAATATTTGGGATTGAGTCCTATACTCTAGCCTTCCCATGCTGTTGCCACTGGACTGAAAACCATCCCTGACAACTATACATGGATGAGAATGGTGGGAGTTGTAGTCTAACCTATCTGGAGACCACCATGTTAGGAATAACTACTATACACACTTACCTGGGGAGTACAATTTAGTAGGAGTTTCTCAGTGGACATGCACAGAATTGCAGTGTTCATTTCCCCATGGTTTCCTTCCCTGGTGGGGTTCTGCTGGTTGATGTCATCTTTATTCTTTGTCTTCCCTTTCTTGCACTTCCACCTGCCTGATTAAGCCGCACCACTATATTCCCCACTACCAGCCCTGCAGTTCAGAGATGCATGTGTTACATAGCCTGGCTACACCTTCTTACCAGCTGTGTTGATCCTGCTTTCCAATGGTCATCCCAGCATTGCCCTCTGTTGTCAGAGGGCTCTTTCCATTCTCAGTCACTCATTGTAGGGTATTACCATACACACAATAATTCAACAACAACAACAACAAAAGTTCTCTGATTGAGCACAACAGACTACAAGGGTCCTTGGTTTTTTAAAAATTGTAAACAACAGCCATCTTTATTTACACAGAATGAGATAAATGTCTGGAGTTGAGAAATAAAAATCACTGAATCCCAACCCTGCAGGGTCCTTCCCGCCAACGAATTACACCCCGATATGTCCATCCGTGTAAGCGTACCCCAAAGCCGAATGTTAACAACCCCAGAGGCACTCTGCACCTTCCCTCTAATAAAGCCAATTGTACTGAGAAAGAGAAGAGGGGAAAACTACACGTGATGCCTTTTGTCACCCAACAATACATGCAACACAAACCTTTTCCTGCGGACTTCTCCCTCCCTATAAGCGACGGGAATGAGCTGGGCAGGAGCGCTCCCGTTTCTTCCGCAGGGCAGAACGGCTGGACGGGCAGACCGGCAGGCGCGTCCGCTCCGAAGGAGAAGCCGCCGCTGGGTTCGCCATGCCGGGAAGGTACTCTGGGTATGCTCAGATGTCCCCTCCCCTTGCCATTATCTCATCCCCGCCTTCGAACGGAAGGCTTCGCGCTGGCTGCTGGCAACACGGGCCGGGGCTGCCGGGAGCCCAGCCCGGCCTCAACTTCCCAGCGGTTGCCCTACGAATGACCCCGCACCCATCCGAGAAGCCGCCGCTGGGTTCGCCATGCCGGGAAGGTACTCTGGGTATGCTCAGATGTCCCCTCCCCTTGCCATTATCTCATCCCCGCCTTCGAACGGAAGGCTTCGCGCTGGCTGCTGGCAACACGGGCCGGGGCTGCCGGGAGCCCAGCCCGGCCTCAACTTCCCAGCGGTTGCCCTACGAATGACCCCGCACCCATCCATCCACCC